TAATACCCATGAATAGTCCTTCTAACAATGATAAAACTGTATGCATCTATATGTGATTAAATACMATAGGACGATCCCAGACAACCCTAAGAGCTGTAAGAACGGGGATTGTAACTCCGATGTAAGGTACTGTATTCCTCTTGTGAGATTTCATGGCGCCTCCGATAGATTCAGTTAAAACATCCTCTGATAGCACTACAATACCAAGCATGATATACAACCTCTTCCTTCTAAACACTGTCAAGTATAAATATCTCGTCTAAATGACGTAATCATGCGTTTGTTGTTGCTATAGATACGGTATGCATGAAGATCACGACTATTATAAAGACTGCAAGACTCGTGAGCGCAATAGGGGGCTGTTTACCTCCACCCAGAGACTTCGAGGACAAACGGCCAGGTTTACCAGACAGGAAAGGAAAGGGACCAGGTAATGTCAATCAATCAAAGAATCAATCAATCAACTATACAATCAATGATGCGATCAATCAATCATCCAACCAATCATTCTATCGATCAATCAATCGATTATTGAACATTGAACCAATCGATCTATATTTGTCTTTTGGAACAGATATGCATATGAATGTCCAGAAGAACGAGACTACTATCCTTACTGGCATCCTACTCCCTGGAAGGTCAGTATAGAATGACGTTGTTTCCTGGAAGGTGAACAACATTCACAATCATCGTTGTTATCATAAGTCATTGCATGCACCATCGTTAACATACTTACCTTAATAACCATCTTTATAACTGTATCATAGCAGTGTTTAAAGAACGTATTTCCTCCTCGGAATAATCACTGAGTTTAGTAATAACAATGACTGACCTCTAACAACATAAGTTCATCTTCCAAGGATATCGCTGTACTGACAAACAATGCTATGCGCTGTGAGTACTACAAACAACAAAGTGAGAATGTCAAAGGTCGTGGATATTGTAAAGTTGATGGAAACCTTGGCAGCACCGTCATACCCAATAACAAAGCCGCTTGCCTGGTAAGCAACTCGTGGATGTTAACAGTCCAACACATCCTTCATATTAAAAAAATACATTTAACTTGATGTGTGCTTTGCATGTATGCACACAATCACGCAACGAAAACGTATTCTCTCCCACATTGTTGCGTTTTTGTGCCGTTTTTGTATTCAAGTCACCGTTCATTGACACTTTGAACTATTTCACTCCAGGCTTTCAAACACCCAAATGCTACAAGAGTTCAATGGCTTAACAAACCAGCCCATGGGATCCCCCCACCGGACTGCGTGCTGTCACAGTGGTCACGTGATAATCACCAAGGCAACACCATAGGAGGGTACTTCATGTCATACAACTGGAAAGTCCCRGATATTGACGAAGACAACTGCGTGGTGCGCATTAGGTATGGAAGTCATTTACCATATATGGCATTTAATTACCATATATAGCAGCATGTACCAAATATAGCAGTATTTGCCTTGCTTATCTCTTTTACTTGATTCACTACCATATATGGCAGTTATTTATCTTATATGGACGTTCCTCTCCAAATATAGTGTTGTTTACAAGTATTATTAACCATACAATCATTTGTTCTAGGTACAACATTTCTACTGGTGAATACGATGGTTGGGATCCCAATGTCAATTATAAGAAAAATGGAAACATGAAAATCAATATTGGAATGAATTTTGGCCTCACCTTCAGGGAAGCAAGAGCACGAGGTTACTTTCTACGCAACAACCCTAGTGTTATGATTTTCAGTAATGCCCCGAAGTTAAGACTCCGCGTAAACATTGATACCGGAAATTTTGGGAGGACATTCCAAGACAGGTACGTTGTACACATGTTACGCGAGATTCTGTGGCCGTGCTTCGTTGAACAGTTCTATGTTATAATCATCATTATCATAACTATCATCATCATCATCATTATCATAACTATCATCACCCATTTGGGTGGCAAGGGTGGTCTAGTGGTTAAGGTACTGGCCTCTCACCGCTGTGGTCCGGGTTCGRTTCCTGGGCACGGACCATATGTGAGTTTGAGTTTGTTTGATGTGTTGTTCTCTCCCTTGCCACGAGGGTTTTTCTCCGGGTCCTCCGGTTTTCCTCCCTCAGTAAAAATCAACATGTGAGGAGTGTTGTGTGCTAAAATAATTAATGTAGAGGTAGTGAGTGTGAGTGTGAGGGCCACAAGTTCATCAGTTCTTTACTGTCACGTGTTACCCTCGTAAAATAAAGTCGATTTATYTATTTATTTTTTATTTATTTATTTAGCATCAACCATGTCACATATACTGAGCGACAATAATCTTTAATAGCTGTATGTTCTGACATACTTCACTTAAGCAAATTGCTTACGGTGTAGGGTTGGATGTCCTCTTATTGACATACTCTAATCAGACAATCAGCGCGCGAGAATACCCAAAAGTGATGTAAAAATATGTTTTTGTTTCAGATCTCACGTCTTTTCCATTCGTAAGCGACCTGCAAGTCTAAAAGGCAAAAAGATCCACAACGTCAATGTGCGCGGTAAACGAGGCAACATCGTACAAGTCTTTCCATCGGTTGAGTACGATTTTGTACCTAACACACTTGTGATACCAGAAGGAGATTATGTTCACTTCCAGTAAGTAGCAGCAGTAAAGTTTCATTATTTCAATGATCACTTGATATTGGGATGTTGCTTTTTTAAAAGTAAAGGAATCCAAACTGTGTTATACAACATTTTCTTAGGATACCCACTTAACACACGTCATAAACCTGCACTTCTTATTAATGTTAGAGAATCGAAACACCWTAAAACCAGGCCCGGAAACCAGGGAAATATATATCCCTCGATCCGTGAAATTCCACAACCAAGTCTGTAAAAGCACTTCATGTTATAATCACTACATGTTTTAACCTTCAGATGGACAGGTTCAGAYACCAACCCTCGTAACAACGACGGACAAGGCAAAAGAGGAACAGATCGATCCAACGTGATTCTCATTCACTCAGAACCAAACAAATCTCCACCAAGGGTTTATGGCCAGTGGTCTAGAAATTATCCTGCTAAAATAACCAACGGGAACTTCTTAGGATTTACAGAAAAAGATTTGAAAACCCTGGCGACTATATCAGGTACGCAGACGAAYTGATACGAACTAGTCACGTGTTTSTTTMATGAACCAATCAGGTCTGCTATTTTCTCAACCAATCGTATCGTTTTATACATAAATCAATCACATAGTTTCTTACATCAACCAATCATATCGTATCAGGTTCTCCATATTTTGATCTGCCGCCAAGAATGGTCAAGGGTTGTGGTACATATCACTACATATCAACAAGGAACAATGCTTTCTCCAATCGAAGCCAAAAGGGTCGAATTATTGTAAACTCGTGCAAATGACTCCAATCCTTTATAACACCCAACACATGAAATAAAACACATCAATCAAAACAACTCAACTTCTCCGTCTTAACTGTGTGAACAACAAACAAACTCTAGCATTATGGGCCATAGCTTTTGATCAAAAATCGGTCATTTTTGACCTTTTTGGTGGGCTATAGCCCATGCTTTTTGATCAAAAATCAGTCATTTTTGGCCATTTTGGTGGGCTATAGCCCATGCATTTTGATCAAAAATCGGTCATTTTTGGCCATTTTGGTGGGCTATA